AGAGTAGCTTATGTAGCAGAATAACCTGATTTACTGACCATTATTCATTTACCTTCAAAGACAGAGCCTGTCTTCACTGGGCCTGGAGATGGTAAGGCTACCATCCAAATCTCTGTGAGCCTCTTGCACTATATCTTCACTGCAGTGGCAGCCTGCATCTCAAACTCAATATATCCAAAACCCAACTTATTATTTCCCCCAACTTCTTCCTGTATTCCACCATTACCACTCAGGCATCCAAACCAGAAATCGGACGATTCACCTGCAGTCCACTTTCTCTGTCAACTCACATGTAATCAACCACCAGGATTCAAGCGTGACCCTTGTTCTGAACTGTCGATTCAATCTCTCCTTTCCACGCCTTGTGTTGATGTGTCAGTGCACATCTGTAGCTAACTGTTGTGATAAAATAAGAATGAACATTTCCTGAGAGCAGAGATGAGCACCCAGAACACTGTGGCAGGTAAGAATATGAACTTGGAGACAGAAGGGGGGTTTGAAACATGGTCAAAAAAAAAAAGAAACATGGTCAAAATGCATCAACCGTGGTCAAAATGCATCAACTGTGCATCAACTGTGGCTGACCTTCAGTTTCCTCATCTATGAAATGAGAATAAAGATACCTCCCTCCCTGGCTTACTGTAGCACTGCTTGGCACCATGTAAGTGTCCACAGTATATGTTATACATATAACAATAGATGAGGAAACTGAAACTTCAGAATAGCTAAACGCGTTATTTAGGTTCACACAGTGATTAAGTATAGCTGCCAATATGAACCCAGATCTAGCCTTCATCAAAAGCCACAGTTTAAAAAATAATTATTCCACGTGGCACATCTAGGGCTCCAAGTGCGGTTGTTAATAATATAGTAGAATCTCTAAAGTACCAACACAGGAAGACCTCATGTATGGTACAGCACTGTATATACAAATACGATCTCATTTTAAAGAATGCTACAAACTCCTCTATTACAATATCTGAACCCTGTATATCACTTTGTCATCTCATGTTTCATTCATCTTTTCTACTAAATGACTGGAGGGCAGAGACACCTCATCTCAAAGCACAGGGCCAGATACACAATATACAATATTTGTTAAATCACTGAATAACCCTGAATCTTTAAAAAAAATTAACTTATTTATTTAGCAAATAATAGATCACAGTGGGTAATGTATGAATGTGGTATAAAGCATTTATTAGCATCAGGCCATAGCCAACTGAACTAATCAGCCCTTAAAGCATTTAAACTATACAAAAACTTATTTAGGATAAAGTAACATTCCTTCCATCCTACTCACCAGCTATCCAAATTCTGCCCCAAGAGGCAGTCATGATGGCTCATTTCTTGCACATCCTTTCAGAGATATTATTGAACTGCACTTAATTTTAGTGCAATTGAAATTTATTGCCAAAGAGTGTCAGGGAATGGTGGGAAATGTTTTATACATATTCAGTCAGCAGGTTTTCTTTCTTCAAAAGTCACCAATTTCTCTCAAAGCCACATAAAGAATAGCCTAAACATTAACGTTGTATGTATGTGTGTCTGTCTGTCTGAAGACCAACAGCAGAAAAAGGTGCTAGGTGTTGTATTTGTGAACTTCCTCAGGTAAAACCACCATCTAATTCTCTGCAACTCTATTTAAAGATTCCCTCCCCTTAAAATTGATCTTAAGACCCATTTCTTCATAATTCTTTGGCCTGAGATTTCACTTTTATTTTCTCTTCATTCCCTGCACATGAAATGAGTAACATTCTGTTACTTGACCATGACAAAGGATTTTCCTTTCTTTCAGGGAGATGTCTGAGGTCACTCTAACACAACTGACCACAGTTGAAAATGAGAAAATGCTTCCTGGAGAAAGAAGAACAGTAACCACTTTCTCAGTATGGCTTTTGTCAGACAGCTGTCTGCAATAGCCCGGGAAGACACTTCATCTAATGCTTTCATGACGAACTATCTTACAGACATCTAGCACTTGGCACTGCCTTCTCTCAGGTTGCTAACCTGTTCCTGTTACATGGGCTTTGCAACCTGGCATTCTCAGACTTCTGATATCATTTAGAAATGACAGTAAAAATATTATTGCATAGAAATGACATCCAATTGTTCATGTAGTTCTATGCCTGTGTTTGTAGAGGAACCGCTATGGAAATATTAATATTTATAATTCTCTACTTTTTTGAGTATATGGATTTACGTATCTCTACTCTTCCTCTCTTTTTCTAGTTTCTATTTCCACACACTAAATGAAAATTTACTTTATTGTAAAAAGATAAAGAAAATAGATTGGAATAAAAAGCTCACCCCAATATGTAGGTTTTTACAGTCTTTCTTAGTAAAAGTGATCAAAACCTAAGAATTCGTAAACTAAGTAATAGCTATAGTTATTTTGTCTCATTTCATCTTTGGGGAAAGAAACTATTTTCTTCTTTCTTCATAGCAACTCCCCAGTCTTTTCTTACGCTGCAGCAAATAAATTTGAGAAGACGTGCACAGACATTTCCTTTTCCTAATATTTCTTTAAGGTTGATGTAGACATGTACCAGTGACAAGCTTAATTCGTGTTTTCACTCAATGGAAGAGACACCAAGAGATAACCGAAGCTTCTTCCTTCTTTCCTAAATCTGTTTGTTACTAAATTGAGATTCCAAGTCTTTGGTGTAGACTCAGTGGTCTCTCTGACTGTCAATGAGCTCTTTCTATTTGTTTCTTTGTTAGTGCCTTCTTCTCCTTACTTCTACCTCCTCAGTTTCCATTAGTAAAGCCAACACCAAGGGCAACCTGCCAAGCTATCTACCCCAGCTCAGCCAACTCATCACAAATCTCACAAATTGTAGGAACGACTCATTGGACTAGGAAATGATCCCAGAACTCAAAGAGAAAATGGACTCTTAAATCTGGGATTATCTTCCTTCTATTAGAGATGTTATTTCTTTTTAGTCACTTAAGAACTGCCTTCTCCATCAATCTGCTTTCCATGCTCAGGTTTTTATCACTTTTTATTTCTCTATTCTTTAAATGAAACACTTCTGTCCTAGAAACTGAACTCTTGTGTTTAGAACACCATTTTGAATCAGTGTTTCTACATCTTTTCCAAACATACACCAGAATCACTAAGCGCTATTATTATACGGATAGAGTTACAAAATAGATGGGTATTTGTTAAATTAATGATAGGGATGCAGCTTAATCATTTGTAGGAGAATTATATGTTTTCTGCTGAATTTAACTGAGTAAATCATATAGCAAAATGACAAGGCTATGTGAATGCATCTAGCATTGCTTGGTAATTGGCTTCTACCAAGGCATGGCAGCATTTTCTTCTTGGCAACTCTCATGAGATATAAACTAGTCAGGAGAGCAGAGAGGCAAGATGGCAGAGTAGTTAAGAGAAATCACCTCTGGCTCTAGACAGCCTGAGTTTCACTTCCAGCTCTAACATTTATTAGTTGTGTGATGTTGGCCAAGTTGCTTGATCTCTTCATGCTCAGTCTCCTCAACTATAAAATGAAGATCAGAGTAATCATACCTGTCCACAGTCTTCATAGGTTTGTTTAAAGATTAAGTGAGCTAATATAAGCAAAACACCTAGAAAGTAGCTGGCATAGTGCTGTATAAACGTTCACTGTTAGTATTATGCAGCTATTAGTTGGCTTGACAAAGACTGTAATTCGTTGAGAATAATGTATTTTACATCAGCTTCCAAGACAGTGACACAGCACTGAGATACTTCTTCCAGGAAGGTACTCAAACCTGGCAACCTAAAGAAAGCCATTACTTCTCCTAGTTAGTCAAGACACTTTCCCTTGGAACGGCTCTAGAGTTAATTGAACAGTCATTAATCAACAACAGTTACTAGAAGGAGCCAATGATGTTGAAATGGAATGTATCTGAAGTCTTGTGACAAACTACTCTTCTGCTATATTCCTATCTGTCTGTGACCTAAGAATCCCATTTTGGGAGATAAAGTTACAATTATATTTACATGCTACAGGATTTTCTTAGTTGTTTCGTCATTACCTCTTTCATTTGATGGAGGTTTTAGCAAACTTCAAGTTAGAGATTAAAGCCTTTTCTGGTGGCAGATTTAAGCTTTGTTTTGTTTTGTTTTTGTTTGTTTTGTTTTAACAACATGGCATTGGCTTATCTGTTTACTAGACTAAGGACTTTTATCCCAAGTAAGGAGTTTCTTCAACTACATTTTAAAGGAAGATTAATGCTACTCACAAGTAATGAACTGTAGTTTCAGATAACAATAAATCAAACAAAACAATAATTCTTATTTGTAGAGATTGCTGTCAACAATGCTAAATTAGCAAGAGGCTAAAATGTTTCAAAAGAGTTATAGCCATTTACGTCAGGCACATAGAGGCAATGAATGAATGAGAGATCTGTGTTAACATTTTCCGAAATTTACCTTTCCCAGTCCCTGGATGAGAGAGAGTGCAAAAAAAAAAGATTCCACCTCTAAGTCTAAGAGTTGATACTCAGCTTCAAGTCAGCATCAGTTAGAATATAATTACTATCAAGGACCTGTGTCTCATTTTGGGTATGCTAATTGTGTAAATTAGTTTTAAGTGAAAGTTACATTGTATGATGATCACATTTTGGCCAGATCTACTGTGCTTGCTTGTTATTATTGTTATTTGACCACTCAGGCCTAATGATTAAATTATCCTCTTTTATTCTTACATGAGATGGAAAGACATTTGATTTATTTCCCTTCTCCACACAATCAACTGATTTGCATAATGCCTAAGGATGCTTCTTCAGATTCCCACGTGTTTACCGAAGTTCCAAACGTGCCAACAGACTGTCATGTAAAGAGGGAAAAAAGGAATCTTCAAATTCAGAAGAAAGCCTGGGCGGTTCTTTTGAATACCTACAATCAGTTCATCAGATAATTTTCCCAGGCAGTCAGATGCCCCAGAGAAACAAGATCCAGTTGTTTTTTTTTTAATTTTGGAAGGGGGTTTTGTTATCAAATGACTTACCCACAATGACTGCAGTGACAGTGAGCAGCACAAATGCATTCCGAAATAGGTAACTTTTAACGTCCTCCTTTGTGATGTTCTGCACTTTCTTCTTGGCCAAGAGTGTGCGTTTACGGACCCCTTGCTGGAATCTCTCCATCCTGCCTCCCAACCTGGCCTCTTCTCCATTGCTTTTCGTCATATTTTACTTCTCTAGAATGTCTCTGCTTTGAACGTCAATGTCACGGAATCAGCCCCAGAAAGCCAGTCCTCTTTGGTGTTAAAGAACACAACTAGACGGGAGAGAAAGAGACAAGAGTTACAGCCTCCAGGGGTGAAAAATCAGGGCTGCCTCACACCAGGGGAAGCTGTTGGCAAACTGCATGATCTCACTAGGAATCAAGGACTGGAGAGCGGCAATGCCAGACCTTAGGGCTCAAATGTGGATATCTTACTAAACCACGATATCTTACTAAACCACGTGTGAAACATGTGCATAAATCCAGAATATATGAGCAGGAACTTGTGTTACATTTTTTAAAAATTGCCCATCCTTCTCCAGTGAAGCTATAAAAGGGCTCATCAGAACTGGGTGTGACGGAGAAACCCCTACCCCAACCTGATCCCCTGGAACCCAGCTGGGCGCCTTACACAGGGCTCACCCTCAATAAATGTCCAACTGAATTAAATGCACGGGAAACGGTCAATAACTATACTTAATGGCTTATGTTGTATACATGGCAAAGGCATAACCAGCTCAATAAAATGAATTAAGATGTTGAGATGTCAGTCAGAGGTTTCTGTTAGATATAATAAAGTAACTATTTTCTTCATTAAGAAAAAAGTCACGATAACATCCAATAGCAAATATGCTTATGAAAAGAACACAAGTATCCACAGGCCCTGAGAAAGAATGACTCTTTCACATGGCAACTTTTTAGTTTTTTTCACAAAATGAGCAAAGTGGGCTGGGCATATTTATAAATGATCTGAAATCATAATTCATTTACATTTCTGTCACAAGTAGAAGTACAAAGTAGCATTTATCTTTGTGGCAAACATGCTGAAGTCTTCTGAGGAAACTATTGCCTACTTCTCTGTATTTTAAAATTTAGGATTTCTAGAACAGATGAAGAGATGAGTCCAATTTTCATTCCAAACATTACAGCTAGCGTGGTTTCCAGTTTCTTTAAAGTGCTCCTAGGTTATTCAAATATATCTAAGCAAATTTCCCGTTGGTAGAAATCAGCTCTTTTGAAAGATCAAGAAATTCCTCCTGCCGTTTAACAAGATTTCTAATCCATAACCTTTCCCACGATAAATCCAAGTGAAAAGCAGTGGACGTGTGTATCTGGCGAACAGCCAGCGTGTGCGTCCGTGGGGGAAGTGGCTAGAAAGCGAGGGACTCCTCGGAAGCTTTTGGCAAATTCAAATGCGGGGCGGGTGGGGGAAACAACCCTAACAGCTTTGACTTTTAAATAAAACTACAGGTTGGGGTCAGTGGTAATAAGACGTACAGGTCGTTCAAGACGTCATCGCAGATTAAACGTTTAGGGAGAAGTAAAGCAGAGGAGACGCGAGAGACCAGTTTTTTCCCCCCTACTGATCTCTCATTCCCCTTACCAGTCACTTTTAAAACAGACCAGCTCAGCCTTGGTTCTTTTCTAGCGCCGGAACCACAATCTGCCCCCATTCCGCCCTGAATGACTCAACTCCAAATGAAGAGAGGACGCGGCGTAAACAGACACCACACGCTCCTTGATTAAATCACTAACATGGACTTTATCTACCAAAATGGCTAGCTTTTACTCTCGCTACTCCTCTGCTTGGGAAACAAAATACAGGGGCAGAGAAATGGAATGAGAAATTAAGCCCAGCAGGAATACAGGACGTCAGGCTTACCTTCTTCGGATTTTGTAACGGGTGGAAGATACCCCAGGCAATGACAAGGTGAATTCCCAGCAGGTACGGCGGAGCAACAGAACGCAGCGAGCGAGGAGTGCATGTGCTCTGAAACTGCAAATTACTATCGGGGCAACTTAAGAAAAGGGGCGGAGTCTGTGCCCGGGAAAGGGGGAGTGGGGAAAAATGAAAACACCACCGGGAAGGAGGGGAGAAACCCGAGGTTTCTGGAATATTGATTAATCTTGGCGCACCAGAAGCCTGCTTGTTGGCTTTGTTTTGCTCCTCAGACCACTTTGCCGCTTTGTCAGTCCACTTTCATTAGAAATGCAAAACCGGGACCAGGAAGAATCGAAGAATAAAGCGCGCACACACTCAGAAAGCTTGAAGTCTTGATTAGAACGTTTCAAAGGAGAGATTTCTGGAGCTAAATTTAATTATCTCACATTGTTGCTGTTTCCTCCCCTTAAGGAAACACGAGTGTGCTCTTTTGCCTGGTTGTACACTATTATGAAAGAGTCCCTCTTTTTAGAATTGGGGAAATAACTGACATTTCTTGGGAAGACCCAGGAGGCAATCAAGCATGGAGGGAAAAAAATGCTATAATGTTCTAAACTTGACTAACTTACTCAAAACACAAGATGAGACATGCCTCTATTTTAGCAGTTAAAACTCTATTATAGCAAATCTAATTTAGCTCAAATTGTCTGATGGCAAAGATGAAAAAAGGTAAGAAACACAAAGAGACCAAGATCTTTGCTAGACTACTAAAGTAAAAAGCATTTTAAGACCAAGAGTATAAACGCACACTTGAAGTTTGGTAATTTCAAAAGATAAGTTTGCTGTGTAGACAGATGTCTCAATTTTAAAGGATGCTAAATGTCCTCTACACCCCCACCTGCCCCATCATTTTTTAGGAATTAGAAAATTCTCATTTCCTTGAGACTGTAACTCGCACTTCTAGTCCACCTTTCTTAAGAAAGAAAATAGATTTTTAAAAATTAAAAAAAAATTTTTGAGCCTGACTCAACTCCAAAACTTAGAATTTGTTTAGCATGAAGAAAAATGTTTAATAGAAACAAAGCTCATACCAAAAATTACAGCCAGAGTTCTGTACTCCTGTTTATTAAATCTCATATTCCCCATACAGAATCCGCTTAATTCTTACGTCTGTTTTCCAACAAGAAAGTATGTCTTTTTCTTTCATTAGCAAATCCAGGGAGATTCTGAAGATATGTCTCCTGCCAAGTCTCAACTGTTGCATGTTTATACTATTTTGAACATCTCCTGGTTGGAAAGCAATGGTGAATCATGTAAATGCTAAAAGTATAAATTAGCAGCAATTACAACAACTTTTAAAATTGCATCATTCTAAGGGTTTATTGAAAATATATGCTCTTGGCAGTCCCAACCCTCAGCAGTCTTTCTCTTTCTTTTATCTCCTAGGTCACTTAGCATCTGTATCACATAGTTTAACATTTAATTACAAGTCTCCTACCGCTCTTTTCTTTTAAAAAATCCTGTTAAAATTTCTGGCTTCTCAACTAAATTGTAAGTTCTTTGAAAGCAAGAATGGGTTTTATACCTGATACACAGTAAATATTAAATTTAACTCCTAGGAATGAATGACATAATAACACTTGGCGACAAACAAAATCGCTTTTTATGTTGGCACTTCTGGCCTAGGCGCCATTTCTCAATGCCTTGACTACATTTTAAAGTATTTATTTAGTACACTAAGTCCTCTGTGAGTCATGGATTTAAGACTAACTTGTCCACATTTCTTGTGGAAATGTCTTGTATTTCAAGAGAACTTAAAAGAGAAATCTTTATGTAATTTTAAATGGAATTTCAAGCCAAGTGGCATTTCCGTCTTTTATTTCTGGTTGTTTTGGAGTAGGGGGACAAGAAAAGGGATTAGAAAACCATACTTTGGTTAGTATAGAGATGAGAAGGCTCTAGTGCCCTCTCTTTATTCCTTTCTTCCAATCCCCGGATCTTGGTTAAAGACCATTTCATTATTTTAGTTAGCGCAGACGTTAGAGGAGTCTGGTGAACCCCAGAGAAGGGAAGTAATTCACCACTGAAAGTTTTGTTTTCTATAATAAAAACCTAATGAGAAAATGAGATGCAAAGAGCCTCAGTTCAGAGTTCATCTGAATTACAAGGGTGTAGTCTGGGGGAAATATTAGGAATTACTACTTTTAAGTACCACTTTCTCTTTTGGAAAGCTATAGCAATAATCCCCTTGGGACAACTTGGGTTTACTCAACACATATTTCTTCCTTTTCCTCTATTTTATAAACAAGACCCTTGAGCCTTCAAACAATTTTCCTTTATAGAAATACTAAATAAGCCAAACAGCAAGAAATTATGAACAAGTCTCTATATGTATTTTATTTAATGCTACTGTGAGTAGGAGACACAGGGCTAGGAAATCGTATTAAGTTTTCTATTACAGAGTTAAAAAAAAAAAAAAAGATGTGGCAAATGCTATTTCTTTTGAAAACTTTCCAGAATTTTCTTTGAACATGCTATTATAAATTTTGTTGTAGGTGAATTCATTGGGCTGGTGGGAGGTGAGAGGAAATGTCACAATAACAAGAAACAACCAGATCCAACCTATCCTTGAATTTCCATTAGTTTGAAGTATGAAGTATTAGTAAGTTTTGTAATATAGTACAGAACCATCAAATTTCAGCATTCAAGATAAGGGAATTCTGGAATTTGAGGAAGAATGTGATTAGAAACCCTTTTAACTTTTGTTGAATATTTTTCACTTTAATTTGTAATTTCATGGGAGATTTTGCCCATCCTTATTCAAGTAGTTTACAGTTTAGGATTAGCATAAGGAATGTCAATTTTCCTTTTACAATTTGGAAATTGTAGAATATTAGGACAATGAAGGGGACTTGATTTAACTCCAGTGGAAATACTAGAGGTAGCAGGCACAGAAATAGTACTTGTGGTAGCTGGTGTCTCATTTTGTCTTAATTTTTTTTTCCTTTTAAGCCCGAATGTAAAAAGCAAAACAACAAAAAGTTGGTGCTGGATTCTGGTTGGGTTTTTAACAGATTGGTTTATCTTGAACCTATGTGAAGCCTGAAAATCCCAATTTTAGTGGGCAGCTAGGCTTCCCTGGTAGCTCAGAAGGTGAAGAATCTGCCTGCAATGCAGGAGACCCTAGTTTGATCCCTGGATCAGGAAGATCCCCTGGAGAAAGGAAAGGTTATGCACTCCAGTTGAACAACTATACGTAACCTTTACCATAGTCACTCATTCAACAAACCTTGAACAAGT